AAAAAACCGGTTTCCGGGGGGGGAGGGGGGAGGGGGGCCGCAAGTTAGGCGAAAATTAAATAGCTCGGAACAAACGGGGATCAAGAACGTTGCTGCTCACCTCCGATCGTGTGGCGAATTAGGATCGCTAATTTTGCCGCCCAAATCCCGCGGGTTTTTGACACGACTGTTCTGCGCGATTAAATCCAGGGAATGTTACGGCTGAAGAAAGGATGGCGCCAAGTCCCTCGAGTTTTAGGCGAGCGATTAAAGTTAACGTCAATCGGCCAACATCGATGAAATTCACACGCGCTTATCAATTTTATCTTTGAAGATAAAAATATTTTTATTAATCACATATGAACATATATCACCCGATGAATTCTGCAGTAAAGAGCCAACAAGAAAATAGAATAAAGAGTTATGGTCTTCCTTCCGAAACGAAAATTATCGGAAACTACCATCGTTATCCACCAGCTATCGCCATTACAGTCGCGGTATGTTAATCGATAATTGTTTAACGTTGATTAACATACAAACTATCATTAACGATAATTGCCATAAAAAATGGCTCGTCTAATCGTACCTTCGACGAGATAACGAGAATCATGACGGGGCGCGAGAGATTATGTTATAAGCGGGGAGATTCGACGAGTACGCCGATCAGGAGTGCGCCATCGTAGCCCAGCACGGTGCGGTCAATTAGGCGGACTATCGTTACGTGCTTTAATGAGATCTCGACGCGGAGCCGAAGGTATATAAAAGTGTTTTATGTCCTGTGAAACCTGGGCACTGTTGTGCCGTCAATTAGGAGACTACGCGCCGCACCGCCCATAATCAGCATATGCAACATGGCGTATGCGTGGCCCTTAAAGGCCGATAACCAGGAAGTGACTGTGTGATCTCGACTTATTATTTTTGGTAATAAAAATATCGTCAACGTCAACGATATTTTCATGTTTATGCAAGGTATCGTTTTCAGACGAACATAGCTTTAGTTAGCATCCACGAAATTTGCGTACGTATTATTTAATAAAAATATTAAAAATATAAGAAAAGTACTATTGTATTTGCAGAATGCGATTCTTGCTACTACAAATACTTTGAAGCATTTGATTAACCAATCAAAACAAAAAATATTTATGAATTTATCCAATCAAAAGATCCTTCGAAGCATTTGGAGCACCAAGTGGATTGCACCCTTAGTTAAAATTTTCATCACATGCAAATTTCTTTTTGTTGTACTTATATGTTTTGTTTTATACTCAAAAATAAGGTAAATAAATCGTAAAATAAAGAAGCATGATTATAGTCACATAGCTTTTTAAGTATATTAGAATACGCAAGAACTATAATTTGTAATAATTTGACAATCCAATAATCTATTATCTTATTGTACATATTTTTTGTTCGGTATTTTATTTTATATAATTGATATTTCTTCAATTATTCCAGAAATTCAAGTATTTATAATCTCCGGTAAAGAAGTACTTTTTATATTATTGGTATATATTAGAAGATAAATTGAGATCGACTCTGATTGTAATATCGTCATTTGCGATGAATTGGAAATTTCATCATTACATTCTGAATAGAATTCATTATTGCCTCCGCCTTCTATGGGAATTTTATTCTCGGCAAATTCCAAGGATTTCAATGAAAAGTGATGAATCGCAGCATGAACGATCAAACATAAATTAGTCCGCGTTACGATGGCCGATATTGAAGTATGTCTTCTATCTAATCAGAAGACATAGCCGACGATACCGCGGCTATATGCACCGGCTGAAGGAGCGCACATACATCAAACTTGTTTATATCTACGAACGGGGGTCATCGCGCGCAACAATACGGCAATTTGGCCGCAGCCGATACGAGATCTCAGGACGGCGACGTTGCTCTTTCCCACCCTCCCGTTACACCCCCCGAAGTAGACGAATAAACGCGCGGCTCTCCCGCCTCCATCCTCCCGTTTCCTTCGGTTCTCCGACGTCGCATCGATTTAACGGGGATCCATGCCGCGATCCCACGAACTGTATAGGTGTGCGTGCGTTCATGCGTGCATGCATGCATGCGTGCGTGCGTGCGTGCGTGCGTGCGTGCGTGCGTTCAGGCGGATGAGCGAGCGCGTGTAGGCACTCATACACGCGCGCACGTGGCGTAGCGACGACGCGTGTACCTGCCGCGTCGTCCATTTCGAGAATCCGATGCGATCTTATCTGCCATGCGGCCGCCACGACCCCCGCGAAGAGAATCTTTGATTTAATGCGAGGAGAAGCACAGGAAAGGAGAATCGAAAAACGTGAGGGAGAGGAGGACAGCAGACAAGATTTCCATTTCTGTTTCCCGAACAAACCGCGACTGCGTCTCGCAAGGAAACAATGCATTATTATTATTATATATGTCTGATTTTTTTTTTTTTTTCTAAAATAAATCAGAGAAGAATCGAAACGCATTTTATTATTTTAAATTAAATGAGAAGTAACAAATATTTCTAACAGATAAATCGCTAAGTAATATTTTATTAAATTGTTAAGTGACTTATAACTTTATATTTATATAACTTATGACATTATATTAATGTAAAAATTAATATTTTTAGAATATGAGGAATGCATTATTTTATCATTTATCTTTTTTTTATTCGTTTTAATCAATTTTATTCAGAAAAATATTTTGTCTTTCTCTTTTAATTTATATGTTAATAGTGAAATCCAAATAAAAATTAATATTATTTATTTTCTTGCGACATATATTGAATTACAAAAATACTTACCTCTTTTAGTGGAACTTTGAACGCTAAGATTTTGGTGCCTTTAATTACGTCGCCGAAAGCTTTGTACTCTAACCATCTGAAACATGCAGAAATATCTATAATTATATAGTTAATAATTACAGGATTAATAATAATCCTCACATCAATTTTATAGCAGGAAAAATAAAAAAACACTCATGGACACTAATGAATTAAATTTAAAACTTTTCATTCATCCATTCAGGTTTAGATATTTCTAAACGTGTCTAAATGCATACAGAAAAAAATTGAAATATTTGAATATTTTTTATTGAAAGAAAGAATTTGAAATATTAAAATATTCACTTTGTTTGTGCCTTTTCATTCGCATTATCGTCTTATGTCTATTGCATTATGTCCATTTCTAACAATATAAATTAATTTTGATTATTTTATCTTTTACCTTTTTAGTTGTAAAAATGAAAGATAAAGAATAAATTAAACTGAGATTAAAATTAATCAACACTGATAAAAATGGATATTAACCAAATTTGGATCGATATTTATGATTTCAAGCATTACATTTCTCATAAACATTTCTTATTTTCCGCGGCATTTGTTCTAATCTATATCAATTGCTTCATGGAGCTTGTTAAAACATATCACTAAGGAAATTAAAAACATAATAATTATTATATAACATATAAAAAACCGTGAGATCCGATCGAAGATAGATAAATAACCGCGCGAATCGAACAGAATCGAGTTTCAGTATTCGGCAAGATCAAGAATGCGCAACACCATCTCTCGAAAAAAGGCGGGAACCGGCACAACACGTCGCGTGTTCCATCGATAAGACAGCTGTCCCCCTCCCTCCCCCCCCCCCCGCGCCTTCCTGTGAATAGCGTCAGATTACTTTCTCAGAATCCAGACGCATCGCTGTCGGATCGAGGCATGTCGGATAAATGGAAACTGCGCTTCGTCCCTCGGATTAACAAGCGCGTACGATCAGTATTATTAAGCGACGGGACGTATCAAAGCGTCGAAATGTTCGGTGTATCACATAACCTCGTTACGGCACGATTCTACTCGCGACCGCGTTGCACGATCGGCTCGCGACCGTTGCGAAACACCCGGCGATCCTTCCCACGCGACAAACGGAAACTCGCTTACCTGTCCGGCACCGAATTCGTCATGTTTGCCTTTCACTCAGAGATCTTCCCGCGAAAAGAACGACATAACACTCGAAACTCAATACGCCGTCACTCAGCGGCACACGCACGTAGCCAACAGCAGACGCACTCGCGTAGAATCGACGACGCAGAAAGATCGATCGATCTCTCGATTCCAACGCGCGGCGGCAACGGCGATCGGCGACTCGGCACCTCGGCGGAGTCGACACATATCAGAGAAACGAATTACGAAGAACTAACGCGCGATCAGATAACTCTAAACTTTTTTTAATATGTTTACGTATAATATATATTTTTATACTATTACTTATTCATTTTTCTACCAATGTAGATTAACTTTAACTCTTGTTACATCCTCGATACTTCACGATTTCTTTCTCATAAAATTCGTTTTTCGGCGGAAAAACGTAATAAAATAAAGTACTTCTCGAAATTTTTCTTTTAATTTTTTCTGTTAATAAATACAAGGAACTTGTTCATTCTTGCTTAATCGAGAGTGGGTTTCTCATATAAGAGACAAATATATCATGGTGCTGAACGTACCATGAATGGAAATCCTAAGAAAAAAAAGCCTAAAAATATATTTCTTTCTTTTTTTTTGTTAAGGGTTAGATTATTATACCAATAGGTTACCTTTATAAATGTTAAATTTCTAACGCGCAGTGGAAATATTCTTTTATCTTTTTTTGTAACAGTCGCACTGAACATTTGAAAGTTGTTTAACACGGCCTAATTTTAACTCAATTTGACTAATCTAGAACAGCCGACAAGAATTCTCGTAAAGCATATCCCCTTAAGAAATAAGTTAGTTTTAATACGCGAAATGTTTGTAAAACAGTTTTTATAAAAAAAATATTTAGTTTCTTTTATAGGCGATGAACTACAACTCGTATTCAGACCGCTGTGTTTTATTTCGCCGCGACTCCTTTTGTTTATATTCTATATAAACAAAATCACGACTATTGATGTCGGCGACATCGCTTGTAAAAAAAAGAAAGAAGGCGGGCAAAACTGCGTACCCGCGTCTGACAACACAGTCAGTCCTCAGCAAACTCCCGAAGAGACCAGATGTATTTTAAATAAACTATTCGTCTTCTGACATATTTCCTGATCTCGGATCATCCTCATTCTGTCGCTATCACCTTTGTCCCCGACACTTTCATCTATTTTACCACAATTTTGAGAGAAAACATGCGTTAAAAAATATTTTATAAAATATATGAAAATAAAACAATATATGCAATTGATAAAATTAAAATATTGAAATCTTGTCTAATTAAAAACAAAAACATAATTCAATTCTAAATATATAGTTATAATTAAAGTAAATATAAAGTAAATATATAGTTATAATTATAGTTTTAATATATAATTAACTACTGAAGCAAAGGAAATGATTTTTTGGATTAATTTTATCTACTCTGTTCTACAGATTACAGATATTATTTCACTAAAAAGTATTCTATTTTTTTATATTTATTTGTATTTTTCAAGAATCTTATCATGTATTTTTCTTTTCTGATCATCAATACAGATAACCTTAATGAATCAATAAAAATTTTAAAAATTAGAAAAAGTACTAAATATCCGTTTAATTTTGGCTTTATTTTTCATAATTAATATTAATATTTAGAACTTTTGATATAATTATCATTTTTTATCAGTTAAAAGGAAGAATTTTTTTATCACAAAAACTCATATGTATCAAATAATATTAATTTCTATTGCATTTGTTACATATAAATTATAATAATAAAAATGTATTAAATACAATTAAATACAAGAAATTTAATAATTTAATAATATTAAATTATTTTATTAACTAGTCGGACATTGCACATCCTTAGAATCTGTGTTCAGATGCAAGACTGTAGTTAATATTTTCTTCTCTACATCAAGAAGTTGAGGAGGCTTTTTATACTAAAATAAAAAAAGAAGATAAATAAATAACGAATAAATGATATATAATAATAAGATGTACAAAGAAGCATCTTCCATACTGTAATAATTAAGGTGTTGTACTGATGCCGAAATGATATTCTTTGCTGTTCTGGTTTTAATCCAATCCTTTCAAGATCTGGAATCTTTATCTTTTTGAAGTATTTTTTGTTGCTCGTGCGTATTGTCATAGTATCATCGGGTTCTGCGGTAACAGAATAGACACTTTCAGGATATGGCAAATTTCTAATTCGCCATTCCAGAGATGTTTTTGTAATTCTTCTTGTAATAATTGGCTGCAAAAGAAAATAAAGTACATACAATTTGATTATAAGAAATATCACTTAACAGATATTACGTAAAAATTTATATCTGAATTAAGTATTTCAATATTCATAAATTAACATACAGCATTTGAACTTTCTTGTATTCCATAGATTTCTATATTATCCACTTTAATTTCGGGATCTCCAACTTCTATTGTCCATCCAATATTTGTTCCGAAACCATTTTTTGCTTTCCATGCTCTTCGTACTACTACATTTGTATCTAAATTATATTCTTCTACCATTTCTTTTCCATTTTCCAATAAAAAATGAACTTTTCGCTTTCCTATAAAACAATAAAATCAATAAAATAACTTTTTGCATTAAATGAAATATTGCGCAGTTTATAAAATTCTTTTTCAATTAAAAACACTAATTTAAAATATTAGAATATAAATTTATATACAGGATAAATCAGAATGAAAAATACAATCAAGAAATTATTCAATATACAATAAGTCTGAAATGTACAATGTCTATAATGTCTGAAATGTCAAAATAAAATTTTTTTGTATAATATTTTGTTCCTGAGATAATCGAATTTGAAAGATTTGAATAATAAAATAGTACAAATCCAAATAGATCCAAATAATATAATATAATAAAGAGATAATGGAAATTCTTTCAAGTTAAAAGAAAGAATTGTACAAGTATATGAACAAGTAGTTTTTTTCATTCGTCAAGCAATAATTTTTATATAATAGAATCAACAATTTCAACTATTTATCGATTAATAAATATATGTTAATAAACATAATCATTAAAATTAATATAAATCAGTATTAATTGCATAATAGGTTTGTTCTTTTTAACTGAATTTTTTTGCACAGTTTATCTTTTCTCTTTTGTCTTTCCAGGGAAAAAAGGAAGGAAGATAAACGATGCAAGAAGTTCAGCTAAGGAGAACAGAATGAAACCCATTTTTTTTTTTCGAGAACTTTCGAGAAAAGTGCACGTGTAGATATATTCAATAAATTTTTAAATTTGATTATCGAAAAAACAAAGCATCATATGAAAAAATTTTATTCCATGTTTCCAACTTTAACATATTTAATAATATTTAATCTCCAAAATCATTTATGCTGACCCACTCGCATAAATTATGCATAAATTTAAGCGAAATATAAATTTAAAAAAAGTCTATATGAAAAAAATTAATAATTTCATGTGATTTGATAACGTTTTCACAATAATGCAACAATATTTTGTTCAAGTTCGTTACATATACAAAAATACAACTCTATTATCGATCAAACATTTTTAGGTTAAACGCAGACATCCTATAACGGACATTTCCACGTTCTATCAACAAAAATTAATTAAATCATAAAACTCTTGAATTATTCTTACCATCCTCAATAACAGCAGTTTTCATAGCATTTTGAATAATATTCAACCACGAGTTACAGGACATTTTCACACACTGAATGAATGAATTTGCGAATGAATTTCCTCTTCTAGGAACTTCTTTATACCAAAGAGACAAGAGAGTGAATACTAATCGAACAAATAAACTCCAGAGCAGTGATGCGAATTCGAGCTCGAA